ATTGTTGATTCTCAGCGCTAACTACTAGCCTGGAATGTGAATTAACAGCATGAAGCCACCAGAGCCAAAACTTCCCAGCTGTTCCAAGATCGCCGTCATGCAAACGTTGCCTTTATTGACAGAAGGCTGAGCACGTGACCCTGCACTCAAATCGTGTCCATGTTTGTTTGCGCCAGCATAGTGGGTTAGTGACACTTGATTGTCCCGTTTTTTGCCGTATGCTGCCGAAAGCAGTCAAGAGGCACTGCGGAAAGTGTATTTGTCCGCATAGAAATCTAATCACGGCGGAAAGAAGGCCACTGCAATATTCCTAGAAGAACGGTGAAAAGGGGAATTGTCCTTAATTGTATCCATAAATATCCCAACGCAACCACGTGTCGCGCGACTTTCCCTCGATTGGCACCTAAAAGGAAGCGCTCTATTTTCTGAGCCTCCTCGGGGCACACGCACACTCACACATACCATGTGCATGTCCTATTCTTAAAATCCAGGTTGGTATGATGATATTAATAAAAGGTCTCCAGTTCGAAGTCAAAGCAGCTTTCTGTACAAAATAGCCGGGAAGGCCTCACTGGTGAATTCTCCCTCTCCCTGAGACGGTCAAATGAGATCCACGGTGGGGTCACGTCGCTTCTTAGCCAAGTTTAGAATTCCTGCAACATGCTTAAACACACACGCACACACACACAAACGCATTCTTCGTTCTTACCGTTCCAGGTACTTCTCCGAGAAATCGACCGTCATGGGAAACATGGGCAAAGACTTGTTTGGCGTGACGGCATGTAAGCGTGTGTCTTAAGGGTGCAGGGTTATTTGGCAATCACATTCCTCTCAGCCACTGGAGGCTCCAGCAGGAGCCTTTATAGCGCCCGGAGTCAGGAGGCGGACACTCACGCTACTCAATCGCCTCTGTGTGTTTAGAGTGGATAGATTCCTTCCACTGAGCCTGGATGGCTTTGCTCAGCGTATGTCAGACACTAACAACACATTTGTTTTGTTGTTGTTGTTTTTTTTAAGAACGAAGGAGCTGGAGCTCGGATTATTCCTAACACTAAACAGAATAATCTGACCATGGATCCCGTAGACACGGATACGATTGTTCGAGCTTTGGCCAGCCAAGGGAAAATGGTTGAGCAGCAGGAGACCGCGTTTACGGAAGTCCATAATGCGATCACCTTAATGCCACCCAAGTTGAGGAGTTGTTCACACGCATCAGCGGATGGGCACCTGAGGGTCCTCGCGCTGTCACCATCAAGGTGTGAGCACCAAACCCAACATACCACATCCATTACGTTATGGTGGAGAGCCCGGACCGATCGATCTACAAGACCCATGGACCTACCAATCAAGTCAACCAACCGACTGTGGTGTTAGCCAAGCTGACGGACAAAACCGATGCAGCTTGGTAGAGGTCGGTTGCATCCTAATGAGAGACAGACGACAAGCTTAAGATGACTTTGACTGGAAGATGTGGTTGCGCATGCTATGATCTGATATTTACGTCGGTAATGTCAATGCCGGCATCTGGTGTGAGGTGTAAAATATCTGTTGGAGAGTAATTATTTTGAACCCAACAGAGTAGGCCAAGTGTGCAACGAGTGTTAAACTTCACACTCCTGTCCCAGCGTTACAAAAGGCCTCTCTCGCCTAAAGTCAGCTGGGAGAGACTCCAACTCACCAATGACTCAAAAAAAAAAAAAAAAAAATCTGAGGTATAGAAAACGAATGGACCCATAGGGGCTTATAAGACATCGAAAAATCCAAATGACCCGGCATCAGGACCAAAGCAGAACAGACACGTATGTCAAAAACCAGAAAACACAACCCGCTACGTGATTATGCTGCAAACTGGTCATGTGGTATTTCCAGGTCACAGTATACGGACAAACAAAATGCATCTCACGTCGGCTCTTCTTCCGTCACCAGCGATGATGACATTTATCCAGATCAAGACTTTGTACTTGTATCTCTTAATTGGCAAATGAGAGGCACGTGATAGCCTAACCACATCAGCGAATAGAAACACAAGGAGAACAACAAAGAAAACCATCACCCAAGCGGATGTCTCCTCCTCCTTTGTCTTGAAATACTTTGGATAAAAGATCAAAGCCCTTCACAATAGACAGCTTTATCCTGGAAATAACGGATGAGCGATGGATGACATACGCAAGCGCCCGCAGGGAGTCGGGCTTATTATCACCATCACTATGTAATGTACTGTCACATGTAACTGGCCTCTCAAAGCCGTAAATGAATCAGACAAGCATCCCTGCCCCATGCACACGTGCCTCAGTACCGATACACGTCCCGCTTCTATTTCTGAACATGATGCGGACTGCGCACATCTGGAGGATTTCATTTCCTAGAGGCGTACGTATAAGAACTGATCTATATTTACCGTATCATAAGATATTTCTACATATAGCCACATTGCATAGCGCACAAAGAATAAAGAAGAATATTCAGATGGAGACAAGCGAAGCGCTGTACAAGCATGAGACGTAATTTATCAGGTAATTAATAAAGGATGGTTACGCTCAATGATGCAAATTCTCCAAATGATATTAACAAACATGCTGAAAGAGAACGCTCAATGACGCAAATTCTTCAAATAATATGAACAAGCATGCAGAAACAGGACAAGAAACCGTCCACATTTTGCAAGGAATTTATTTACAGGCTCAAAAAAACTAGAATCCAATTTGCAATGGTCGAAAAAAAAATTGCAGCGTGACTTGAAAGCACGAGTCGGCAAATGTCAGTGCTCAACGGCCCAAAAATATCTGAAAACGGAATACTGGAATGGAATAGTTTTGTCGTTAGCGATTGGGAAAAAAATAACCATGTGTTTTAAACATTTCACTTTCAAACACACTATTCTCATGAAAATGCTCACATGAGCGCTAATGCTAATTACGACGACCAAACGACTTGTTGTTGCCAGACCCTCAAATCACAAAATGTGTTCATCTCAAACTCCTTAAAAGAACTGCTTCAACAACTTTAACGTGGTGGTGGTGGTGGGTGGTTGTGTGTGGGTGGGTGGGGAGGGGGGTCGGG